GTATTTCAGTTGCTGGCACACACTCCAGTGTCAGGCAGCAGGACTGAGCCCCAGCCCAGCCCGGGGCTACGGTAGCAGCCCGTGCATAACCCAGCCACCGCTTTGTGTCCCCTTGCTACAGCACCACCAAGAACAGCTTCCCTCTTTCACACCAACAGCGGGTCAGCTTTAAGTTGCCTGAATCATTTGGAAAAAAAAATAAGCCTGAGGGTGGACCCAAATCAAATTCTCCAGGCTCAAATGCCTGCGATCACAGGGGAAACCACAGCCTAGAGCTCAGCTCGGCTGCTCAGGGCCGTGTCCGCAGACAAAGGCAATCCCGGAGCACCACAGAGGCACAGAGCATACCCAGCCCAATTTTCTGCCAGCTGATGTGGCTCATTGACAGGCACAACAGTTATTAATCAGTACCCTGAGAAGCAGCATAGAAGGCAATGAAAGGGAGGAGCACTCTTCAAAATTAGCACAGGTATGCCAGAGAGAACTGGGGGAAGCCAGCACTGAAAGAGATCCACAGCCCTTTCACTGCTGAATCTTTCCCCAAGCGTTTTGGTTTTCAAAATTTTGCTTCTTGCCTTATCTGGGTATTTATACAATTAATAAAAAATGAGAGCTAGTGACTCGGTTGCGTAAAAAATAGGTTTTTCAAATTGCAGGTATAGCAGAGTACATTACTGCAAACACACTTTTGGGACTCAAACTATAAAGTCACGATGAGTGCAGCAAATCAGATCAAATCTGGATCTCTGAGCCAGGAATATTTAAATTGTAACACTAATTCATCCCCCAAGGAGTTGATATGCTTATTTGGCTTCAGGAAACAGAAGACAACTGGCAGTGACCCTATTTTGGGGAGAGGGAAGGGAACCTGAGAATTTCTATTGTTTTCACAGGGAAGACACCCAAACAGATGAGGTAATTTTCGAGCACAGCACAGGTCAGGTCCACAGCCTGTGCCTGGCCAATATCTAAATCCAAGATTTGGCTACTAAGGATATTCTTCAAAGCAGTGCTCAGCTGCCACCTCAGTCTTTATGTGCAGTGGCATCTGCCGGCTGATATTAAATGATTGCCTTTGTCAGGAAACCGTCCCTTCTCCTAAGTTCCTAGTTCAAGCTAAATCCTGGAGTCAGAAACCAGGCAGGAGAGTGCCTCTTCTGCCAGTAGGACCTGATGCTCTGAGTGCACAAAGATTTCGTACCTGTCAAGTTCAGCAACCAGGACAGGCAGCTACCATCTCCTGCAGCTGCTGGGAAGCAGCACAGCCCCTGCTCTTGGCAGCCCAGGGCGAGACACCCCTCACCGTCAGCATTTCCCTTCACCCGTTTGTAGGCACCCCTAAGTGCCTGGTGTGGATGTTACTAGTTAACTACTAACTGGATGTGAAATGTCTTTGCATTAAGATATCCAGCCAAGGACATTTGCCCCAGGACACATAACAAGGGAGGGCAGCATCACAGACTTTGCAGCCATCTGGTTGCCCACCTGATTTATTAAAAAGCCCTCTGACCATCCACAGCTTTCTTATAGTTTACTTGCAGAAAACAAGGCCACTGCTCTCTCAAGCTGGTCATGAGAAACTGAGATACACACCACTTGGGAAAAATTTGGATTAAAGTAGAAAATAATACGTAGGTATCAAAAAAAAAAAAAGCTATCTTCAGACCCCTCAATTCAGTACCATTTCTCCTACCATTTTTTTTAAACTCTAATCTTGGAGGAGCTGAAATATTCCCCTTGCCTGAGTTAATGCTGCCAAGGCGATGTTACTGGAACCACTTACATAAATTTTCATACTACATCAATGCACTGAGATTTTCCACTAGCTGCAGTAAAACAGACTCATGTTTTTGGACTAAAATAAATTTGACTTTGCACTTTTAGATGGGGGGGAGGGAAGAAGAAAAAAAACAAACACAAAAAATCACCATGAAAATAAACTGCGTTTTTCATCTGAAGGAACAGTATGTTCTCCCTCTCTCCTTTCCACTCTCTGGAGTGTTTTCTGTTAATATTAACATTTTTTCTGCCCAGCTGTTTCCTCCCAGTGTAATCTCCTATGCAATCTCTTCACAGGTGTAGAATCTTTATACCAGCCCCAAATTGCTTTTTTCCTGGCTGACAAAAAACACTTTTGGAGAGCAAAGCTTTCATCCTTTCAAAGACACCTATAGCACTAAAGGGCATGGACTCAAAAGCATTGACAGTAAGACCCCCACAGCCCCCGCCACCTCTCAGCAGCAGAATGCATTGTGCTATGAAAATGATGAATGATTGTCAGCGGTGTGATCGTGTGTTATTCTCGACAGCCAGGAGATGGGAGCTGTACCGCGTGTATATATTCCTCCAGAGAGGCAACAAAACAAGGTGGTTCAGTCCTGCTTCCCAGGTCACACCCTACATCAGTGAGCTGTTGAAAGCCATCGCTGCAGGCAGCCGCTTTACTGTCCATCCCTCATCACTGCCTCCGAACTGTAAATTTCTCCTGAGGAGGGTGTGTTACCTGCTCTCTCTTCCCAGTCGCTCCCCCAGTCTCTTATGGGATGGCTGTGCTGTAAATGGGGTTCCTGAAAGCCCACACCGCTGCCTCCGCTGCTCCTTTTGCACAGAGAGAGATCAAAATGGCGAGCCCAATAGGAGGAATGAACAGTCTCATGTTCACTTCTGTTAAAAAAAGAAGAAAAAAAAACAGAAGGAGGATGAATTAGATTGGATACCAGGGACTGATACCTGAGGAGAAAGCAGTCATTTTACTTTACATTTGGAAACACAATTTTCTGTGGCATAGAAGTCAAAGAAATAAGACTTGCCACAGGCAGTAACTGTCATTTATTCCTGCAGCTGTACTTTAAAAAAATCCCCAAAGTTTATACTGGGACCAGGATGCCCTAGTGTGCTGTACAAGAGGACACTCTAGTGCTGCTTCCAGGCAAGTGACACACAAATCCCTGAACCGGTGAGGCACATGACATGGCACAGCACAGCATCCATGCAAGCCTCCCCGATGGTGCGTGTCTAACTGTAGTTAAACTTTGCATTTGCTAGTAGCACTGATTTTTCAACCACTGCACAAAAGCCAGTACAGGCTGAATGGAGTGCTGCATGGGCTTGCATTTTGCAAGCATAGGTTGTGCCTGCGCCCCCTCCCACAAACTGAGCCTCCACTGGCATCTCATCCAGCTTGCAACCCAAGACCCTAAGGCAGGAAATACATGCCTTTTTTACTCACCTTTTCCAACTTTTAAGATAAAAGCTAGTGCAGTTTCACTGCAAAATTGCAACTTTGTTTTCAGAAGCACTTTTAAAGAAATAAAGCACCTAGAAATGGGTAAAAGTAATGCTGCTACAAAACGAGGAAAACATTATTGCCTCCAGAAGAAGGGCTGTGTTGCATACCCATAAGGAAGAACAGTGGGAAAGATCAATTACCTACCGTCTGCTATCTTAGGAAAACTCGCGTAAGCCCAAGTTTCGTCTTCTTTCTACAGTTGTGTTTATTCAGGAAACTGCAAGACGGGAGTTTGCATTGTATCTAGCTGAAATCAGCACACAAGCTGCAATCAATGCAGAGCCCATGCTCTCCTCCTCATCCATGAAGAGTTGGAGAAAGCAGTACATCTGCCTAGCTGATATAATTAGTCATTGTAAAGAGCAAATTCATACCAAAATGCTTCGATGCCCATTGCTGAGGAGCTGCATGTCCCGCATAACCGCAAGGCATTTAGTAAAAACTGGATCAGCATGTCTAAGTCTACTCTTCTCCATCTCACAGCTAAAGAAACTGAGGCACACAGTTAATGATTTGTCCTGTGTTACAGACTGAACAGGAATAAAAGCTGATCAACAATTACAGTAACACTGTTGTGCAATGTGTCCTTAATGTCAGCACAAGAAACAAACAAACCAACGCCCAAACATACCCAAGTCAAAGTAATTTTATTAATAACTCATAAGAGCAAATTGCTACATTTTACTGAGAGAAAACCACAGCTTTATGTACCAGGGCAGAACCTGGGAAGCTGCATACTAAAATGCCGATTATGCAAATTTATCTTATGAACATTTTTAGACAAGAATGAAGCAGGGTTTATTTTCTTTAATTAAAACCAGAATCCTACATAGTTCATTAGCATGGATTCAGAGCAGAATGAATATTAATGTAGCCCACCTCTCCCAATTCCACCTGCCAGAAACATCAAGGAAACAAAGGTTAGAAAATGGATTCCTGAGCAACTGTAAATGCAACAAGCTAATGTCACTGCAAGGCTGCTGGCATCTTTGAAAGGTCACGGAGATGAGGAAAACCTTTTTGATCGGAAAAAGGTAAATGATACTGCCACCTTCAAAAAGGTGAGAAAGAGGATCTGGAGAACTACAGGCTGGTCAGCCTCACTTCTGTCCCCAGGAAAATTACAGAATAAGCCATTACGGAAGCCGTTCCGGGCACATGAAATACCAGGTGACGGGGAACAACCAGTCAACGCCAATTTACCAGGGGCACATTCTGCCTGACCATCCTGACTGCCAACTAGGAGGCAACGACTGGCTCTGTGGCAGAGGGGAAACAGCGGATGTCACTCACCTTGACCAGAGCAAGGCTTTCAACAGCGTGTCCCACAGTAGCCAGACTGAGAACATGAACTACAAGGTGGGTGAAAAAATTCTGGACCATTGGGCTCAAAACAATGAGTGGTTCAAGTCTAACTGTCAGGTGGTTACACAGGACATTGCTCAGTAGTCAAACTAGGGCAAAATGTGTTGAACAACTTCCTTAACAACTTGGGGTGCAGAAAGCCCAGCTAAGGACACTGCTTTGTCTAGCCTGGAGAAGAGGAGGCTGAGAGGAGACCTAAGTACAGTTTCCCACTATAGAAGGGACTGTGGAGAAGACAGAGTGATACTCTTCTCAGGCACTCAGTGAAAGGGCAAGAGACAACAATCGCAAGCTGCGACCAGGGATTTGGCCATGAAGAATAAATGCTTGCCCACAAGAGCAGCTAAGTGCTGGAACGGGCACCCAGACAGGCTGTGGAAGGAACCTCCATCACAGGTGGTTTCCAAACCTCAAGGTCTTGAGGAACTTGGTCTAGCTTTGAAGTTGACCTGGTACTTTGTAGGGGGTTGGACTAGATGACCTCCAAATGACCTTTCAACCTAAATTTTTCTATGATTCTGTGATTCTAAGTGTATATGTAAATAGAAGAACTCTGATCAGTGAAAAGCTACCAGTCACATTTATTCTGACAGGGCTTCAGACTGTTCCACCTGTCAGGTCTCAGACACCATTACTGTGCTTCTTCAGCCAAAAACTTCATATACTGTTTCCGAGCAGGAAAATCATCAGCTGGCCTGTTGTATGCTGTCCAGACGGGTTCTCCAACGAATAGCCTCATTGCCTTCACGTAATTCTGTTAAAGAACAGGAAGTCACAGTAATTTAAAAGCTCCTTTCCACGGGATCTTAATTCTGAAGTTAATGGTTTCATTTGCACTTCTGGAGCAATTTTTGAAACCATTTCAAGATGGACCGAAAGCTTCACATGCTCCAGAAAATTGTACCACTATGCTGCTGTTCCTGCTCCCAGCTACTGCAGTGGGAGATTTTGCACCTATGCAGTGACATATTATGTCACAACCAGCGCCTCTAGGTCGGGGCAGAGACAGTGCTTCTCCCTGTTTCAAAGAAACCAAAAAAATCCTGTCTTATGCAAATCATTTTGCGCTGGATCCACAATACTGAGCAATGCAGCATCTAAATCCTACTTGCTTAGTTAAACAGCAGCCATCAGAATACCCAAGATGGCTACACAATGACTGAGGAATACCAGAGGCTTCAAAGTGACAGCCATAAAAGCTGAATGGGGAGTGCATAAACCAGCCAAAAAATAATGCTATGCCAAGTGAAAAGTCCCCAGATTCCAAAAGGAAAAGGAACAGCCCCTGCCACCAGCTAACCGGAAGTATGCCAGGTGCGAGGTACAGCTGTGGCAGCAGAAAACGGGATTTTACATCCTGCAGAAGTGCTCCAACCACTGAGTTATAGGGAACTCTCCTCTCCTCTTCTGTCCACTACACTACAGGTTTAGACCCTACCTATTTTGTAAACACTGCTAAGTGCTTATCTTGCACCCAGCTGCTCAGCAACATCAAGAATAAAGTTAGGTACCTAAAGAACTTAGCTGCAAAATGCAAGGTTCTAGAAGTACCTAAAGAATTTACTTTGAAGTTGGCACTTCTGGACTAAAGCTCCTGAAGTGGACAAACATTTAAGACTTCTTGCAGATTCAACCCATAACCCCTGACATTTTGTCTGTGTAAAGAAAAAGCCTTAAACTAGCAATTGTAGCTGATTCACTGTGGGTCTCAAAATGCAGACATGCAAAGTCAGGTTTTTCACCAAAGCAGCATATCCCTTATATATATATGATAACTGCTATCTGGACAGCTGATTCAAAACTATACCATTCTCATGACTACGCCAGAGATGGGATTTTGCCACACCAGAGACAGCACACATTTTCCAAGGGTAATGCTGAGATTACAAACATATTTATAAAAGCCCACAAAGAAAGGTACACAGATAGGACTACATGTGCCAGTCTCACAATCCCATTGCCAAAAATACGCTCCAAAAGCGGGTCACCTCCTGTGAACCCAGCATCCAGTCTAGCACACGCTAGCTGCAAGTAGTGGCTCTGGACTCTTAAATCCTTCTTGCCCTGAAGGTGAATTTAGCACTCCTGAAAAACACCACTGCTGGACACAGATATGCTCTGTCTATCCCCACAAAGATACACAACAAGGCAACACAGAAGGATCCATCTACACCATCTCCACCTCAACCGACAGCAGGGGCAATTGTGGGAGGGACAGCCGCAGGGCTTGGCTCTCACACTGCTGTCACATAAGATATGCTACGGATATCACATGGCAATGACTTGCAGTTACAGCTCACGGAAGGAAACTGGATTTGTGACCTGGAGATGAAAGGTTCAGATGCTGTGAATTATTTAGTATTTTTCATATTCCTACTTCATATTTAATATGCTTTGCTAATGAACTGCAAGTCTCAGGGCATGTAGTTACTAATGTGATATATACTTGCATGGATTTGTCATCAAAATTTATGGTAATCTATAACAACATACGTTCTCATCCAGTGTAAATCGGTGATATATGCCGGCAGGGAGGGTTATCATGTCTCCTTTTTGCATGGAAATCCGGATCCATTTGTCATCCTTGTCTCGAACATCAAAATAGCCAGATCCATCTAAGATGTAGCGAATTTCATCGTCTAGGTGTAAATGTTCTTCATAAAATGTTTTTATCTAGGAATAGCAAGTATCTCTTAAAACTACTGAACACACAAAAACTGCAAAGAAAACTCGTAGAAACATGTGGCAGAGCAGACAAAGGCTTTCAAAGCGTAACTGCACAGTGATTTAACCAGATGAGACCAACATGGTTAAAATGGCCAATCCAGCCAGCCAGACCCTGTCTCAGGACACATTTAAGTAGGCTGCTAAATTTCCTTTGGAAGACAAGAAACAGCAGCTATAGCTGCACATGACCAGTCTCTGAATAACAGTAATGCCTGCATCCTTTTGACAGAAAGGCGGGTAAAACTTCCCACCACATGATTTGGTCCTTGCGGTTGTTCAGTTTGATCATTTTGTGGCTTTTTTTTCCTGACACGCAAAAAATAAAAACAGAGCTACAGATTATCCCCCTTCTTTTACACTGGTGTTGGGTTGAATTAGCCCCACAGGCTACTACAACTGTATTTGAAAATGCAGTTATTGCCAAACATGGGCAATCTACAGCAATCTGATGTAAACAGCATGTCGCACCTGCCCCCACACAGTGAGTCCCAGCTCCGGGCTCTCTCCTCCCAGGCAGCAGCAGCAACATTCTCGTTTTTTCCAGAATGGTGAATTCTTTGTACATTTCACAGCACAGAACAAAACATGCTTTAAAAGCTCAGAGACCTGAGTGGGTTAGTGCACAGAGAGCAGCGCAATGCCAGGTACTATCACCTGCTCAGGCCTGGATGCTCTTTTGCCACACTAGTGCAGATGTCCCTGAGCCAGTACTGATCCAGCATGGCAAAATGAGCAAAAGTCCATATGCCCTGCCAATAACGGCCCATCTTTGTGTCAGGTAGAGCCTATCCAGGAAACCCGAGTTACTAACTAATTCACCTTCTCATCAACTTAAAACCAGTATAACACAATGGGCTTAAAACAAACTGGTAAATGGCAATTTAATGAAAATATGGAAGTGCCACTGGATTGCTGTCCTCAGGTCAGAGCAACACACCACCACCCGGAGGCCAGGAGAAGAAAGCTCCTCCTGGGAGGCTCATCTAAGAGCCTGGCACCATTCACATTCAGCTGTTATTAAATAGCCAAGGTACCAGCTTCCCAAGGTAAAAAAATATTGTACAGAGAATGTATCCCTCCGATTCCATAAGGTTAACATTCACTTTGAAAAGACGTATTTTGCAAGCAGCCATTAGGGTGTTACAGCCTTCAAAGCCCATGCCCAGCTGGCAACCACCTGCCGTCATCCCAGGGAGGCTCTCTGAAGACAGATCAACATTGGTGGGGTTCTGCTGGTAGGAATCAGTTTCGAAATGACACCATCATGGAAGCTGTCCTTAAAACCTTTCAAGGTAACCTACAGAAGCAAAAGTATTTGCTACTATTTTTAAAACAATATCAAAATTGCTTTTTTAATGTCAAGGATTCAGTATAGGATGTATTTTACACCTGGAAACCTCATCTCTGCGCCCCTGCTCAGGGTGTGCAGGTGTTAGGAAGCCGGCTGCACACTCTAGTGGTAGACTCAGCGTGCAATTCCTCACTGAAAGCAAAGACTCGCATACCTTGTCCTCGTAATTTGGAAGCTTGTCTTTATGTATGGTTACTATATCCATCCAAGAATAATTTTCTGCTCTCCGAATCTCTTTCAGACATGGATCAGTCTCATAGTTATCAGCATCCAACTAAAAAATACGCAGGGGAAAAAAAAAAAAGCATTCAGACACAATTGTTTAAGATGCAATTCAGGACACTAACGTGGAAAAACCCGAGTTGCCAGGAGTGTCAGTGGAGGGGCAGGTCGCTCCGGGGGTAGCTAAGGTAGCTGCCTTACACAAGACGTGCCAGCTTCGGTAGGTTTACCTGCACCCAGCCCACCCCCGCACAGACACCGCCTGGGCCCCTCCTGCTGTCTCCCCCTCTCCCGG